TTTTTTATGAATCGTAGATAATTTTGCGGATAACTTTTGAGAATTATTTATAATTTATATCGAAAAATCAATTGTATTAAGTTTTAAAGTTCACGATAAAATTACCCGGAATTCTTAGGGTAGGTTATTCCAAACATGATGGAATATATTTCCGGTAAGATCAGAATTTTTAAGAATCAAAAAAAGGCGCTAAAAAAATGAAAGAAAGAAAGAAAGAAAGAAAGAAAGAAAGAAAGAAAGAAAGAAAGAAAGAAAGAAAGAAAGAAAGAAAGAAAGAAAGAAAGAAAGAAAGAAAGAAAGAAAGAAAGAAAGAAAGAAAGAAAGAAAGAAAGAAAGAAAGAAAGAAAGAAAGAAAGAAAGAAAGAAAGAAAGAAAGAAAGAAAGAAAGAAAGAAAGAAAGAAAGAAAGAAAGAAAGAAAGATAAGAAAGAAAAAAATTAAACATATATATGAAGTATAATAATAAATGAATGAAGAAAAAAAGTCTTATTTTGAGTCATTTCTCTAAACTCTAATTTTTAAATTTTATTCCTATAACCGAACCCAGAACCTTTTTTATTTTGTGAAAGTGTTCACATTCCTGCATTATCCTTTATGTAAAACCTTTTTTGATTTAATCAAATTATTCAGTTTTTCAAAATAATATTTTGATAATATTTTACTCCACAAAATAAATCATAAATAAATATTTTTTTTTATAAAGGTGGGCATTTAATTTTTAAAAAATCCTTAATTCGATTATCTTTATTTTTATTTTATTTTATTTTTTTAAAAAAAAGTTGATTTCAGGAATACCCCGAGGATTAAGAATGCATGCGTGATTGATTTGGGCAAAGGAAAATTAAAAATGTCGGTGTCTTGGAAAACTAATCTTATCGAAGAACGTTATAAAGGCTTCATCATTGAATTGTCACCTACCCGAATAGACAAATATTTTCTTGGACAAGAACGCATTATAAATAACGTAAATAACGACATTTGTATTTATAATGTAAAAAAAATAAATTAAGATTTGAAGAAATAAAAACCCAGAGACCTGCAGGCCGGGCCCGGATAATCGGTTTAAATATGCCCGAGTCGCGCGGAAAAAATTTTTAAATAAAAAATCCGGGCCGGGCCGTATTTTATAAAACCCGAATATTTAAAATCGCCATTACTATCTATGAAAATTAAAAATAAATATAATATATATTTTAAAAAAATCCGGGCCGGGCTTGAAAATATAAAAGTCGGGTAGTGCATATGGTACCTCTTACAGGTCTATGCTAAAAATACTAAGCCTAAGATTTCCGTAGCCGATAATATTTTTTTTTTGGCTATTCTAACTGAGCAAACAATTTCTTTACATGTTATTATTATATTTTTATATAATTATTATAGCCAAGAGTGACTTCATTTAACTTTAGTAACGTGAAATCTGGGCTCGAATATAGAATAACTATATGCGCTTTATTCAAGGATTACGAGAATTATAATGTTAGTTATCGTCCTTACGTCTATCATACTGTCTTCGTAATTGTCTCTTAAATACTTAAAACTTTTACTATTTCGATTTAAAAAGATTATTTACGATTTATAATATTATCTTAATTCGTTTTTTTTTTAAAAAAAATAGTTGTTATATCATCATTTTTTTTATGATGGGATTATCTAATAGGGATTTACAAATTGTTAATATAATATCTTGTATAAAATATTTTTAAAAAAAATTAGCATTATTATGGATAAAGAATAATTTTGGGCAGATATCCAAAAAGAAAGAAAGAAAGTAAAGAAAGAAAGAAAGAAAGAAAGAAAGAAAGAAAGAAAGAAAGAAAGAAAGAAAGAAAGAAAGAAAGAAAGAAAGAAAGAAAGAAAGAAAGAAAGAAAGAAAGAAAGAAAGAAAGAAAGAAAGAAAGATTTTGGGAAACGTATTTAATACTAGTTTTATTACCATTTAATTTATATATTTATTTTTTTTTGTAATAAGAAAATAGGGGATTATTTAAATATTAGATAAGGCCTGGTCCTTTTTTTTCTGAAGGCATATAATCGTTGCCGCAAAGACGATGGCACACCTCATAAAAGCACATAGCGTGCACTTAAATCTAACAGGCATTTCCTTTAGACATGATTTTACCCTGCCCCCCTCCCCTCTCCCCTCATTAAAAGTCGAGATATAAATGTGGAAAGGAATCGATACAAACTTGCTCATTACTTTCAAGTTGTAGTGTGTCTTTGACGAATCAGTGACCTCCTCCAAGCCATCAGTGAACTCCATTTTTTTACCGATACTTTTCCGAGTTATGGAAATCGGCATAAATTTCCAGATCCTGCAAGATAAATATCTTAGCGTCAAATTTCTCTTATAAATCTAACCATCAAGATTTTTATCAAAATGGAAGAAGGATATAAATTTCTTTAAAAAAGATTGTATAAATTAAATATATTTACCAGCAATATGTTTAAAAATAAATTAACTAGTATAATAAGGAAAATATAATCAGTGTTAACCAAAAAAAAGGAAAATATTCATTTCAAACAATACTAAAAATATATCTCTAATAAAAGTACTATTATAAACGATTGGATAGGTTACATGGACCATGAATTGATAAGATATTTGTAGGGAAAATTCTAAGCCAATGTTCCTAAGGAATATAGAAATATTCTTTAGGATCGCGGCTGAGATGGGTAATTTTTTTTCCAATCTTCTTCAGGAGAGATGTGCTGAAGTGCCCGAAGTTTCCGAGGGTTGATGTGACAACAAGAACAAATAAGAAGCCTTCTAGTGGGCGTTGGATTCTTCGAATATGTCTACACAAGTAGTAACCCCAAATTAAAGCATTAATAAATTTTATAAAAGATAATTAATTAATTTTTAAGAGGCGAAATCAAAGTTATATTATAATATAAAAAATATACAATTACCAAATCCTAACAAAGAACTCTAGTGATTATTGCTTATCTTTTTAAAAGAGATTTCTTGGAAAGCCTAACAAAGAACTCTATTGATTATTGCTTATCTTTTAAAAAAAGATTTCTTGGAAAATCTAATAAAGAATTCTAGTGAATATTGCTTATCTTTTTAAAAAAGATTTCTTGGAAAATCTAATAAAGAATTCTAGTGAATATTGCTTATCTATTTAAAAAAGATTTCTTGGAAAATCTAAAGAACTCTAGCGATTATTGCTTATCTTTTTAAAAGAGATTTCTTGGAAAATTTAATAAAGAATTCTAGTGATTGTTGTTTATCTTTTTAAAAAAGATTTCTTGGAAACCTATTAAAGAACTCTAGTGATTATTGCTTATCTTTTTTAAAGAGATTTCTTGGAAAACCTAATAAAGAATTCTAGTGATTATTGCTTATCTTTTAAAAAAAGATTTCTTGGAAAATCTAATAAAGAATTCTACTGATTATTGCTTATTTTTTAAAAAAAAGATTTCTTGGAAAATCTAATAAAGAATTCTAGTGAATATTGCTTATCTATTTAAAAAAGATGTCTTGGAAAATCTAATAAAGAACTCTAGTGATTATTGCTTATCTTTTAAAAAAATGATTTCTTGGAAAATCTAATAAAGAATTCTAGGGAATATTGCTTATCTATTTAAAAAAGATTTCTTGGAAAATCTAACAAAAAACTCTAGTGATTATTGCTTATCTTTTAAAAAAAAGATTTCTTGGAAAATCTAATAAAGAATTCTAGTGAATATTGCTTATCTATTTAAAAATGATTTCTTGGAAAATCTAATTAAGAATGCTAGTGATTATTTTCTTATCTTTTAAAAAAAAGATTTCTTGGAAAATCTAATAAAGAATTCTAGTGAATATTGCATATCTATTTAAAAAAGATTTCTTGGAAAATCTAATTAAGAATTCTAGTGATTATTTGCTTATCTTTTTTAAAAAGATTTCTTGGAAAATCTAATAAAGAACTCTAATTCTGGTTTTCTTAAAGTTATATTTTCATATTTATATATTTAACGCCCTCTTATGGATATATATTTGTTAAATTTTAAATTTAAAAAAGCTAGTAAATATATATTTTTTTCCTCATTAATATTAAATAAAAAATAGAGTTATAGTATTTAGTCCAGGGTTGGCATGTCGGTCAATTGACCGGTCAAATTCGGTCAATGGTCAATTGACCGGAGGAGTATTTGACTGGTCAAATACGGTCAAATACTCTAAAATATTAATGGCGAATAAATATTTTGATATAATTAACTAGTATGCATTAAAAGCATGTTTATCAATCTTATTATTTTTTTATTAAAATATAAATATGTAATTTTTCTAAATATAGTAATATTTTTAGTTATTTTTTTGCCTAATCATTGCCGTTTCTCGCCTTCTTTATTTTTTTCAATTCATTTTTCTTAAAAAAAATAAAAATACCCGATTTATTATAATCATAATATAATTTTTTCATTCTTATTTTTTAATAAATTTAAATTTTATTTAATATTTAGCCGAGTATAAATTATATTAATTCTCATTTGTTTTACTTACACTTGCTATATTTGGTTTTTAAAATTAATTTTCATTTTAATTGTTCTGGTCAGATTTACGGAAAATTATTCAATTCTGGTAAAAAGTTATATATATTATATTATATTTATAATATTAAGAAATTATTGGAATAATTGGTCGATAATTATAAAATAGTTAAGATTGATTAACTTTACAATAATCAAAATCATTTTTTGTTAAATTTTAATATATTAGGGATTATGGTCAAACCAAAGCATCATGTTTGGAAACATTTTCAAGAAGTACGCGATGGTAAATCAGTTAAAGCTGTGTGCAAGTTTTGCAAGATGTCCTATATCACCCACGTTGATAGAATGGTCAAACATTTATTAAGCAGCTGTACTATGTGCCCTGTTATAATTAAGGAAAAATTTTATTCAAATTCCAAAATATCAACCTCTACAAAAAATATCACAAATGTAATTTGTAATACTTCTAAGTCTAACTCTAATGAATAATTGGGTGAAATTAGTGAGAATGATTATCAAATGAACAATATTTTGTCTTGTGACTCAGGAGAATTTGATTCCATTATTTCTAATCAATCTACAAGCAAGGCGATTAAATATAAATCCCAATCTTGTATAACCGGTTTCATAGATAGAATTAATTCCAAAGAAAAAAATGAGCTGGATCAATTGTTTGCAAAGGCTGTATATGCGAGCAATTTACCTTTCCACATCACTGAAAATCCCTACATCCAAGAATTTTTTAAAAAAATACGTCCTATTTACACATTACCCAGGAGAAGGCAGCTGGCTGGATATCTTCTAGATAAAGCGTCAGGTGATATGGAGGTGAGAGTTGCAGATATAATAGATAAAGCTCCTTACTTATCAATTGTATCAGATGGCTGGAGCAACATTAGAAACGAGAGTATTATTAATTTTATGGTGATGACGCCTGTTCCAGTGTTCTACAAATTTCTAAATACTGAGGAAAATCGCCATACGGCAGATTATATTGCCCAGGAATTTAAAAATGTAATTCATGAATTGAATCCGGTAAAAGTATATTCTTTAGTTACTGATAATGCCGCTAACATGAAAGCAGCCTGGAGAATTCTAAAATCTGAATCTATTTATAATCATATACAATGTTATAGTTGTGCAGCGCATACATTGCAGTTATTCTTTCACGATTTTGAACGATTGGACGCCTTCAGTGACCATATTTCAATAATTAAAAAAATTGTTAAATTTTTCAAGAATAAACACATACCAGCTGCAGTATTTTCCCGTAATAAGAATCTTCATGGCATACCATCTACATTAAGTACAATTAGCCAAACAAGATGGGCATCGTCAATAAAATGTATGGAGCAAATTCAAGCAAGAAAGCTCTAAAAGCATCAGTTGTTGAAGAAGCTGTTTGTGATAATTGTCCCATAGAAATTACCAATAATATATTAAACGAAGAATTTTGGACGAAAAATTTAAAATTTTTAGCTATACTCCAACCTTTAGCTACCTCATTGTTTAAAGTGCAAGGGGATAAATGTACTTTGGCCCAAGTAAAAAACGAGATGCTTAATTTGGAAAAACACATAATACAATCATGCCATGATTCTATATTTTCTCCATCTCAAGAAAAAAAAATTAAGGTTATGTTTGAAAAGAGAAAAACTGATATAAATACATGTGCTCACAATGCTGCTTATTTATTGGACCCCCAATATCAAGGGGAGCATCTTACTAATACTGAATTTGATGAAGCATGTAATATAATACAAGAATTGGGTATTTTACAAGGTGGTGATAATCAAAATATTTTGAGTAATATAGTAAATTTCAGAAGCAAAAGCGGTATATTTAATAGCCATAATATGTAAAAAGTTGTAACTTCCATAAGAAACAATCAAATTTCGGCCTCAAGTTGGTGGAATGCATTTTGCCCATTAAGAGAAGTCGCTAATATTTTACTAACATTTCCTAGTTCGACTTCTTCTTCTGAAAGAAATTGGTCGGTTTGGGGCAATATTCACACGAAAAACAGAAATAGATTAAAGGCTTCTACAGCAGGAAAATTAGTAAGAGTGTATCATAATTTAAGATTGATTAAAAATATTAAAGAAAATAATGATATTGAATATGAATCGGAACAAGACTCTGCCACGGAGGGTGAAACATTGACTAAAGAATGAATTAAAAAATATTATGATATTTATTATTATACATAGATTTATTATAATATTATATAAATGCAAAATAAAGTTAATATTGGTGTAAAAAACATTTATTTGAATTTGACCATATTTGATCGGTCAAATATCGGTCAATTGACCGAATTGTATTTGACCGGTCAAATGCACAACCCTGATTTAGTCATACCTTTGGTCATCGTGCAAACAAGATTTTAAGTAGAAAAATCTAGAATTTATTGTATCTAAAATTTTAACCGTAATCCAAAAAGAATTATGTAAATTTTCTAATACTATATATTATTTTCCTTTTTAATTTATTTACCTATTTGCTCTTCAAATATAACATTTTTTTTAAAAAAGAAGAAAAAGAAAGAATATAATAATGTGTTATAATTTTTTCTTTTTCAAGATTTTTATAACCCACATTAATAATAAAAAACAAATAATATAGATTAAAGGAAATAATATTGACAAAATTATAATATTGATAAAAAAAACAAATAGTATCGATTAAAAAAAAATATTGGTAATAATAAAAAAAAAACAATACAAATAAATTTAAAGTAAGCATGCCCATCACAATGTACTATTCAATTCAAATTTTGTCTTACAAAAGAAAAATCTATCGACACGTGCTCGATATGATTGATATGAGATGATATGATTATAAAGATTTTATAAGTATTGGCAACCTGCAGGCCCGGCGTATTTTAATTTATTTAAATTTAACCGAGCTAGGTCCGAAAATTTTTTTAAAAAAAAATATCCGGGCCAGGGCCGTATATTTTAAAACCCAATATTTGAAAATGGCCATTATCAGCTGTAAAAATTAAAAATAAATAAAATATATTTTAAAAATATCCGGGCCGGGACGTACAAATGGTACCGATGCAGGTCTCTGCGTATTGGACATCCTTAAAACTGGCTAGGACCAGTTTCAAGTGAATAAAAATATAAAAACAAGCTTCTTTTTTTTATAATTTACAAAAAATCGTGTTAAACAAAATATAGATATTTATGAGGGACGGTGACAAAATGTGACAATCAATGTGGGAAAGTTTTGAAAGAAGTACTATTGTAATAGATTCTTAAGTGATGAACATTTCATAACAAAATTATGGTTAAAAAGATACTTTTTAAATGGATCTAGATACAGATACATCGTCTAAAATAATATCTAGATACAGATATTTTGATCAAAAATCTATCTAGATACAGATGCAGATACCACATTTTTATATCTAGATACAGGATCTAGATGTATCTAGATCCTTAAACAACTCTGATAAACACAATACTCCTCCCCACTTAAATACTGCTACCGCCGCACCGCTGGATCAGGGCGGATTTAAGGCCTAAATAAATTTTACTAAACGAACAAAAAGAAAGAACGGCATACACCGCACCGCCGAATTAGAGCGGATTTAATTCCTACCTTAATCATGTAAAAAAAACGAACGGCTTTCACCGTACAGCTGGTTTAGGGCGGATTTACGTCCACAAAAAAAATTAAAAATGGAAAAATACGAACAGCCTTCGCCGCGCCGCTGGGTTAAGGCGGATTTACGTCCTCGCCAAAAAAAAATGTACGATACGAACGGCTTTCGCCGCACCGCTGGGTTAAGGCGGAGTGTTGTCCTAAGTTAGTTTAATTTTTTTTTAAAAAAAACCTACGGAATATATAAGAAAAAAAAATACGAAGTTTCGTAGATTACAACACTCCTCCCCGCTTACATTTCGCTATCCTGGGGAGGGGTCACAACGATCTGGCGGGTTCCTCGTGTTCTCGCTCGGGTCCAGGTTAGTTGCTTGGTAGGATATTGCTGGTAAGGGTGGTTTCGACTCTATTTCTGGTGAATTGTAAAATGATGGTATTGTGTTGTCGTATGCTTGTATAGTTAGGCAATTGATTTGGTAATGTCCAAAGTTTCCATAATTGAAACAAGTGGGATTACTATTACGTTGAAAATTTAGGGCCCGGGGGGTGGATGGAAATTTTGATTTGTTTATGGTGAGTGGTGTGTATGGGTATACCTTAATTCAAGTTATTAGATAAAATTGGCAAATAAACATTCAACAAATACAAATTATGATTCTACGTGGTGACCTAGAAGAACATAAGCAATTTAAAAAAATATATGTCATAAAAATTTATAACTGCGCCGATTTACGCCGTTTTTGTTAACATTATACATGTGAACTTGAATAAAAAATTAATTTTATAATACATTATAAAGAATTGGGAAATTTTAACTTTTTTTTTTAATTTTCTGAGTAGAATACCAATATAGGACTCCATATTTAAAAATTTATGAATGTAGCGGTTAACCTTTTTAGCGACTTTTATTGCAAAAGTCACATCAATTTTAAAATATTAAATAAAATATTATTTATTCAACCAATGGAAGGATGTGAGAATCCAGATAAATCTAAAGTAGTTTCATAAAAGGGCTTTAATAAAAGGAATTAGTTTCTCTATTTGATTTTTATCTTAGTTAGTTAAACTTATGATTTTTTCCTCCAAATTGTATTCATCAATTTATTCAGAGAGACATTTATAAATGTTTTTTGTTAAGATAGGGTACATAATTAATATAATATTTCTCATTTTCCACGGTTCAATAGAAATTTTGAATAGAATCCATAAATCTATTGTAATAGTCATTTTCCTGACAATTTTCCAGGCCTGGATATAACATGTCCTTTTTTATTGAGGCAATTGTTTTAAATATTTGCTTTAAAAGTATTATATGAGAAAACTTTTTATGTTAATATTTATATATCTGAACACTTCAATAAATTTAATAATAATCAGTGCATGTAGGAGAATAGTAGACATTAGAGTCATTTCAGCTATATATATATTAATTTCTTGGTTTTGAGAAGTTGTAATTTATTATTATTACAAATTTAACCGAAATTTCTGAAATAATATTTTTTCCTGTGACACATTTTTATACTTGAGAAACTTATGTCGCCTCATAATAGCTAAAATAATAAATAAATTACATATGTGAATATGCAATATATAAATTAGTATGAGGAGAGGAAGATGCATAACTATAAGAAGGTATTTTTGATGAAGTTTTAATTTATATAATTAAAATCTTGAACTCTCAATTTGATATTCACATAATCTACTTGTGCTCGAAAATTGGAGAATATGTATTACATTTTTTCTGGAATTATCCTTTCTAAAAAATTTATACAATTCTCTAACATCTTTAAAATTTAAATTTGATATTTTTTTTTTCATTTGCATTACTATCTTCTAAATCAATAATTATTCTTTCACCTGCAAAGGAGGTAGATTCAATAATACTATCATCATCTATGATTCCAATTCCGTGATCCGTGATATATAGCGCATATGCCCGCTGACGTTAAATAAACAACAGAGCTACACTAGGTTTTCCTCATTTCCATCTAATTGGAACATAAGTTGATTAGGGTGTATAGTTAAAAAAATATGAGGAGCCCTCTACACGTTTGTCCGCACGTAATATTTCGAAAAATGTTACAGACGTCCATAGGCTTTAAGAAAAAGAGCCTATGCCCAAGAATTGCAGTATAAGTTAATTACTTTAAAGGTGGGTGGTGGCTGATTTTAGGTTAAAATTCTTTAGTGTAAGTCTTTATGATTGCTATCAATATTGAGGTTTAAGGTTCATAGAATCTGTAAATAAAGATGATTAAATAAAGAAAATTAGCTTGATTACTATGATATAGTATTATTTTTTTGTTGATCATTTATCCATACAATACAGTATTACCACTTATACTTGCAAATCTTCCAAAAATTAATATTCCATACATACGATATTCTAGAATCCAAAAAATCTTCAAAAATAGATTTACTTTTTTTAAAAACAAGATTTCAATTCCATTTCTGAGTATAAATTTATACCTATAAATTAAATCCCTAATGAATAGGTTAGGTATTAAATAATCATGTTTTACGTGTTCATGCACATCAATTAAAAAGTAATTTATAGTAAACTTATATTTTTTATAATCGGTCTTCGTGGGAAAGGACCGAACCATCCCGTTGAGCCCAATAGTCAGTTTATCGAAATTATTAATTTAGTTATTTGTTAAAAAAAAAACTATTTTTCTTAAAATTTTAATTTCATTTAACCCTTTTCCTTTTTTTACAAAGATTTAAATATTTCTTCTAAACTTTTTACTATTTTAAGGGCACTTATAAATCCAAAGAATAAAAACAATGGACAGGTAAGATATAATTCGTAAAACTTAATTTATTTTTTGTGTTTGGACTTTGTCAATCTGTTTTATTTTCTAAAACCTTATTTAATTTTATAGACACTAAATAAAATAATTTTTTTTAGTTATATTATGTAAATTATGGAATAAAGGCTATTTATTTTATTTTTTTAGTATATAATTAAAAGGGGGAGGGTGAACAAATTTGATAAATATTTCTGATTTAAGGGATATTTTGATTTTATTGATAGGCTTAAGGAGTATAGAAGCCACTGTCACAGGATAAGTCAAAACTGATAGACAAATCAAATAAAGGAATAAAGAGGGCTACTGCCACAAGGTAACTTAATTGATAGAGAAATTAAATAGATCGCCAAACTCTTAGTAATATACTCTCTCATAATTTTAAAAATGCTAATTTCTATGTTTCATAAAAATTAAATTTCAATATGTAATATGGCAAATATTGTTTACTTTCAATTAACGATATTAAGATTGTGACAATTACCAAAAAATATATCTAGCAATATTATATTTATTTATCCCAAATGGTTAGTTACATTGTAAATAGGCAGAAGATAAACTAAAACTAATTCCACCCGGGATTAATTAGAAACTATTTAAAACATTTTTACCTTTCCATCAGTCCTTAAAGAGTATCATAATTTAAATTTTTTTTCCTCTTTAGCTTTCACTTATACTGGTGGTAAGCTTCTTCGATATCTCTCTTCACTTTATGTTCATACTAACTTTTTCATCTAATTTATACTTCTTCATATTGGCTCTAACTTTATGGCCACATCGAAGTTTTGGCCTTCCTCTTTTACGTTTGCCCATCAGTTCCAAACTCTCAACCTTATTTCCTATGCGAAGGCGGCGAAAATTTTTTAAGAGGTAGGCATAGGTTTTTGAAGGGTTTGCATCCAGTGAAAATCCTATCATGTAGACGGTGACAATGTGTATGATTGTTTGCAATATATAGATTTGGTTGATGAATTATATTATAATAATTCTATAATAATAGTATTAATTTTTACAGCAATAAATTTTGTACTATTTTATCTCTAAATTAAATAGATAACCTCCCAAAAAATTTATCCTACCCCCATTAAAGCAGCCTACCCCCTCAAAAAAGATAGGATGCAAACTGTTCACGCTGCACATTGTTTTCCAAATAAAACTTTCTTTATCCTTTAAAATGTAATTTAAAAGGTTTAGATATTTCAGCAAGCTCATAATACCATAATAATTAATTCATTGTAAATAATGGAGGTTTTAATTGAATTATTATCTAAAAAATAAATTCTTTATATTCACAAAATATTGATAGTTGGTAGTAGAGATAGATTAATTTAAGTTGCCCTTTATAAATTCTCTGAAAAGAGTATCAATATAAAAAGGTGAAAATAATAATAGAGAGTCACCGCCGCCGAAGATGGTAAATTTTTTAGGGGGATAGGCAAAGGTTTTTGAAGGGGGTTTGCATCCAGCAAAAATCCTGTCATGTAGACGCTGCTCTTTCAGAAAATTTAAAAAAAATAACATCTCTACTACCAATTATAGACATTTTTTGTATAAAGGAGTTAATTTTTAGATAATAAATTCATTAAAATCCCCATAATTTACAATTACATCATAATTATAGCAGAGCTGAAAATGTCTTAACCTTTTAAATTACATTTGAAAGGATAGCAGAAAGTTTTATTTGGTAAATAATGTTTATGATTGTCATAAAAATACATTTATCGGATAATGTCATTCATATTTTTATCTATGTTTTGTATTTTTAGTTAGAAAAATGTCAGTCATTTTTCAAATATTAGAAATTAATAGATATCATATTTTTGTGAAAAAGAAAATTACTTTTAATTTTTATCACTTTTGAATTTGATTAATTTTTGATTTTTGTGACTTTTCAATTTTTGATAACCTTTTTTTATTGTAATAAAACCTTTTGAAATTATAATAATATTTTTGCGATTTTAATTTTTGACCCTTGTAAATTGATGAATATTTTTATTTAATAAAGATATAAATCCAAAAATTAGTTCGCGTGGCATTTAATTTATAAGTTTTAATTTAGTTCATTAATTGATAGTTTTCATTCTGAGTTTGTTCTTATATTAGAATTTCGTTTTAGTAATTTTTCTGATATAATTAACATTTGAACCCCTCTTGTTTCCTCTTTTGTTTTTGTCATTGGTGCCGTGACCAGGATAATATTACAAGTTACCTTAAATATAATAAAAATGCCCTTTACTCTCAATTATATAACTTAACAACCCAAAATAATTCTTTCTAATAATATTAAATAAATACCATTGACCATTAACGACGATCCATATTTAACATAATTATCTTTATTTCCAATAAAACCACACAATCTAACATAAAATATGTAGAAAAATATAACATAATATAATTATCCAATTCTTCATTTCTCAAAGGTCCACAGCTGTCATCTAATCCAATATCTCTTAATCTCCAACTACGGGTTTTTCCGAACAATGAAACACACCCCGTGATCCCTATCTCCCCTTCTTCCCCCAAGGAAAACTTAATTTTCCTGTCAGAAAATAACTGACATTTGATGTATTATATTAAATTTATTTCTTCTTTTTTTCAACAGTTACCACAATGATATTTTACGATATATAGATTTGGTTGATGAATTGTATTATAATAGGTCTATAATAAAAGTATTAATTTTTACAGCAATAAATTTTGTCCTATTTGATCTCAAAATTTAATAGATAACCCCCCAAAATATTTATCCTATCCCCATTAACGCCGCCTACCCCCTATTCTCTCAAAAAATAGGATGTAAACTGTTCTTACCCCAATCCCCCGTTCATGTAGACGTTGCTTATTTCCCCGAAGCAATTATATACAATAATAATTTTAAAAAATATAATTATTTTAATAATTACTATGCTTTAGATAAGAATCATTTAACACTAATAATATTGGATATGTATTATATTTAAAATGAGATATCGAAAAAATTAAAACTATATGGTTAATAGTTAGTAAACATTTATAGAGATACCATATGTTTTAAATAATCAATATTTTAAATTTTATTAACACACTTGAATGTGAGCCGTATTTTGCCAAATTACAGGCTTAATGGAACTGGAAGTGAGGTTTTATTTTCTAATATCTCAGTACATATATAACATATTCGATTATTACTTTTAAATATTCCAAGTTAGAAACGATATTTTTTTCATTTTAACAATTAAATATATTTTCCGTCTATCACGTTTGTTAACCGAATAGTTAAAGCAAGATCAAGTAACAAATCTCGGCTGGTTGGATTAGATTCAGAATAAGTTCATGGTTAATAAGATGATATTGATAGGGGTAAAGGTTCATGTAGCCCAAATCCCTCAGATTTTGTTGGAAATATAATTTGTTGCAATGTTTTCTTACAAAATTTAAGATTAAAATTATCCAACATGGATTTGAATGTAATTTAAGAAGTTTTCAATAATATAATAGGTCTGAGGTGTAGAAAAAAGTTTAAGAATATTTTGATGCTAGATTATAGTAGTTCTTTTCGAGAAATGTTTGAATCCTGGTCACCTATTAGTGACAAGAACCCAGATTTTATTTTTGGTTAAGGAGTAAATAGGTCTAAAATTTCACATTTTTTATAATTTTATGATAGATTTATTGTTGAAAGCTAAGGGTGCAATGTCGAAGGCTTTATTTATCCTATTTAAGGGCCTGAGAGTGTAGCATCCAAATACCAAACATTCAGATTAAGTTACTTTATAGTATGGGCTAAAAGTTTTTGAACTAGGACACCCTATTTAGGTTTGTTAAGTAGAACAAGCTTGACTTTTTTAAAAAGGTATACTTAAATACTATCGATAGTCAATTTTGATTAACTTATTTTATTTTTTGATTTTATTAAAATTTTTATATATAATATCTATAAAATTGTAAAAAAAATAATATAAACTTTAAAAATTATATATATCATTTCAAGAAAAACCTAATTGAGTTCCTTAAAGGAACAATAGTTAAATTTAAAAATATTGATTTGTATGTTCTGCCTATAGAATAAGAATTCCCTAGGTTCAAATTTTTACAATTTAATAATTTTTTTAAAAGCTTAAAGTTATAGGAGTGAACTGTCTATAGGTAGACCTTGCTATTGATGAAGAAAATTTGAAATTGCTGAAGTTTTTGTGTTTGCTTATTTTTTAAGTCTCTGCTTGAGTAAGCATCAGTGGGGAAGGTTTACAAATTAAAACCAAATTATTCTAATAGTTCACCTCATCCCTAACTATGACTACCTAGCAATCTGAGGTCTAGGGTTCATAAGGCCAGCCTACAAGTTTTTTTATAGCAGCCTGGGCTGGGCTTGGTCATAAAATCAAGGCACATGAAGGTCTCTGCCCTGCATTCATATGCTGTATTTTATATAATTTGCCACCCATTAGCACTAAAAGTGAATGCAGTGGCAAAAGGGTTCAGCATGCCCCGCAGATCTATATATAACATAATTTTTAAGGTAGCTACTTAATAATAGCAAAGCAATAATGTGTTATTTTTAAAAAAGTAGCTTATTTGTAGTGAAGCTAATTTTTTTGGATGGTAATTGTAGCCATAGTGCACTATTTTTTTGAAGTAGCGTTAACAGCATTGGTTATAGTTAGAACAGGAGTGGAATTTAAACCCCCTTGGTTTATTACTTTGAGAGTAAGGGGTTAAAATTAAAAATAGGCAATTTTAACGCTTTCGAATATATAATAATTCTATTAGTTTAACTAACTTCATTAAAATAGTAAATTTGATACACTATAAGCCAATGATTTGTCACAAAACCTTTCATTTTAATTTTTTGAAGGCTTGTCCAAGGGCTAAATTCACAATACAATAAGATCCTCAAAATATGTAAATCACAATCAAAAAATAACGTTATATACTTTGGCGGGGATGTTCAAGTAATGCATATTCTCTTTAAAAATATATATGTAATTTGTATATTGTGTTGTTACATATTATAAATATAATGTTGATATTTTTAAAATATTTTAAATTCCTCCAACAAAACGGTAGTTATAAAATCTGAGTACTCAGTCAATATTTACTTTAAAACTGATTTACATTTAGTTAGAATTAATATATTTTCTTCATCGGCAATTTTACATAATTATATTATATATTTATTCACAGAATCTTAAAGACGTTATGCTTGCAAGTCGAGGAGACAATAAGCGTTTTGTTCAATGGAGTGCTGAAAACACGGCACTACTACTTAGCAAAAGGTTTCCAAATCACAACATCTGGATCATATTGCCTTCCCAATTTTACTTGAACACATTTGCTTCTTATAACAATTTTGTTCCTAGTGATAAATTTGGAGTCCCGGAACCGTTTATCTCCTTGACATCACTATCTTTCGGAAACAGTGGTGTGTGCCATTTGGTTAGTTTGCTGAAAAACTTCTCTTCATCTCTTCTATGTTCTTCTCAACATGAAAAAGTGAGGTTAAATTTACCCTGTACTACCATCATAGAAGGAGACGACAATGACGCTAGCCGTAAATGGATTATGGGTATCAAAGATGTGATTAGTGGGAACTATTGGAAATTAGTAGGATTTAGCAAGGGGTGCATGGTTTTAAATCAATTCGCGCACGAGTTTTCCCTTCTAACCTATCTCCGGGAGCCCACCTTAGAAGTGAAATCGCGAATGGGGGAATCGAAACCCGTTAAACCTTTGGCCGAGATTGTGGTTAAAACTTTCTTTGAGAACATCACCGCCATGTATTGGTTAGACGGTGGCCACTCTGGACCAACGAAACGTACCTGGATAACTGATCCCACTATAGTCAAAAATTTTGTAAAAAATATTTACGATCGAAGGATTTGTAATTCTCTCGCGAAAATTATGAATATAGAAGTGCACGTAACGCCTTACCAAATCAAATGCGCTTTCAGACCTTGGATAGGGGAAGAGGAAGCCCAATTTTCCCTTATGATAAAAAGTGAGTTCGATGCTAACCGAAAACGCATTAAAGATTCGATGACAGATGAGCCATCAGCTCGAGAGTATCTACATAAATTAGATCGGGACTTATCTTTTGTAAGGAAAGTGCATTTTGAAGAAATTCTTCCATCTACGATAGATACACACTTCGAATTATTGACCCATTTTTAGTTAATTTGGCAATTTTGTTTCGTGACTTATCATCATTTCAAACTTTTTAAAATAGTGAGGGTCAACTGGACTGGTTCAGACTGCTATACTAAAGTGGTCAATTGTGCATTCAGATCGAGTTTAGAAGTCGAATATAGTTTAGTTCCCTTCGCGTTGTGACAGACAAAATAACCTAAATTTAATTTGGTTTTAAACTAGATCTGAATGCATATGACCCGTTTATTTGGAAATTTTATTTGTGAAGTGTACCAATCCTAGTTAGCCCGCGCAAGATACTTTGAGCTTTATATTAAGAGAATAAAAGATGAGGCGTATTTTTTTTTTACTACAATCGCGATATTATTTTATTCCGCGTGTAAATTTTACTATAACTTTTCTTTATAAAAAAAATTTGTTACAATACACCAAATATAATATTAAAGCAAATCACGATGACGCAAAAAAAAATATCAAAATAAAAATAATACTTTCTTTGTTCTGCGTATTGTATATCAAAAAAAAATGCCAGTGAAAAAATAAAACGAATGTACAAAATTTATGTGGCTTTGAAAATATATTTTTTTATCAAAAAAAAATTGTCCTATTTTTAATGCGTGATTCGAACAAATACATCCACCGGGAAAAGGAGAAAGTAAATTAGAAAAAAAAATAATAAAATTCTTTTTTTATTGTATCAAGGTAGCCAGCTTTTTCAAATTTAAAAGAATCGTGACTTGCTGTTGTATGAGCATCTTGTCGGATTTGTTTGCCTTCATTTCTCTAATCCGGTTACCCTTGAAATGATAAAACATTTTAAAAAAATTTCCTTTTTTCGTTGAAATGTAATTTTTTAAAATTATGATATATCGTATAGGCAATTCGTGTAAATTAAGAACCCTTGCGCTAATCTATCCGGCACGCTTATTTTATTCTAAATATTAAATAATATTTTAAACTTGTTTAGTGATACATATATTTATCGCGTCTGCTGTTAAATTAGGGGTGTTTAACGATTCGTTAAAACTGCTGCATTCTACCGAAAGGCTAGCTAGGAGAGAAACGATCTATTTTTTTTTAAAAAAAATATATTAAAACAAAAAAGTTTTTTAAATGCCGAGCTTAGTGAAGTCGCTCGAATAAGTCTATTTTTTTTAACCACAATTATCTCACTCCTAACTTTATTTATCTTACTCAAGTTCTTAATTACGCTTAATAAATTCCAAATACACAATTTAATAATTTTTTTTAAATTTTTATTTCAATTTTTTTTTCTCTTTCTTGTAAGTCAAATTAATTATAATATCCGTAAGTCAGAATATATAAAAAAAATGATGAATATTTTTACATCCTCGAAAAAAAAAATCTATTTCCCAAAATAATCATATTATTTTCCCCACCAATCAACAATATAAAGAGAATATCTATTATAAATTACAATATTTTTTTTTATAAAAAAAAAAAACCTGATCATCTTTGGAAAGATTAAGCTTCGGCGTTTTTGATTCGCGTTTATCGCCGCCAGTATGAATAGGTCCGGCAAACTGTTTTTTCAGCGCTAAAATCTTCTCCAGCTCCAGCTTTTCGAATAACGGTGTAGGCTTTTTTTGAAAAAAAAAATACCTGTAGTTAATGTTTTTAATCAACTAACTTTGGCCAATTCAATATGGATTAGCCAAGCTATTAGTCTTAAAAAATTGACTGGCTCCTCATTCACAGTTAGCGCAAATTAGCGGCAAAAAAAAGAGAAATAATACCTCATATTTTGCATAATTCGCGGCGATTTTGCGCTAATCGAGAGTGAAGGTTTAACACCATAACTAGACTGGCGATTCATTCATTTAAAAATAAGTATTTAAACAAAATCAGCTGGTGGTGCGCCATTATAATAAAGTATTTGCACTAAAATATTTTGTTTTTTTTAGAAATAAAGAAAAATTATTTTTAAAAAAACCCAAAAAGGGGGTGTCACCAATTAATTTTATTCAGCGATGAAAACGCATTTTAATTAATAAAGTTCTAGATATATATATGATTGGGTGGGCGTCAGCTTAAAGATTGGAGACAAGTTTTTCTTTAGGATGAATAAAAACGAGTAATTAAGAAGGGGTAATGGGCTAGGTATAGATTTTAGAGGGTTTGTCTCCATTGAATTTTCTGTCATGCAGATGATGGCCATCTACACTTTTATGGAAAAAAATATTCAAATCCTTATAGAAATTCAATGCTTCCAAATCGTGCTTTCTATCCGATTATAGGCATGACTATATTCTATTTTTTTTAAAAAACCCTTAATTTAACATAAATTAACTCCTAAACATGGTGTTAAAACAGCTCCATTTTTTTAAAAACGGCTAAACCAATATTTTACTCAAAAAAAAATTACGCAAGCCTGGTGGAGTGGAGATTTTGCTAATAGATGACAGATAGTAAAAGAATTAGTTATACACTGGGAACAGTCTAAAAGGTTTATTAATTTTCTCCCAACTTATTACTTTAAATATAACGTGATCAGGCTTAACAGCCATCCCAAATGTTTCCGGCATGAGCTGATCTGACGGCATATCGATTTGGAGGAAAATGGAGGCACTCGTTTTCGGAATAAAAGGTCCGAGCAAAATGGCGAGCAGGTTGACTGTGTTAACGCATAATGATATAACGTTGCAGCATTTTTCCCTTGATAATGATGATTAAAAAGGATAATTATCAGAAAAAATGGCGTTTAATGTTGAAAAAAAAGAAGAAGAAACTTTAAAAAATTGGCCTTTTATCTTAGTTTTTTTAAAATATTATAAGTGTTATGATTGGCAATTAAGTTCATGACTTGATTTTGGTCAGCATTAGAATTAATGCGTGATTAATTATATTTTATGGAGATTATAGACAATTTGTTTTTTAATAGCTATACAGGGTATATTATTTTTATCCCTATTTTTGAATAAAGTATTTTATCATGAATGTCTAAGCTTAAGGAATTCCAAGATAGTTTTGATAAAAAATTAACTGAACTGAAGTGTGGACGGAACTAAGACATATAACCATCGGTGACTTAAATAATCAACGCAAGGAATTTTTAAAGAATTGTTTATGTATTTATCGTAAAAAAGGACATGTTACCCCTGTGATATATCACTTAAACCCCAAAACAATCAATATTCAAATAAGTAAAGGTGCTTAATACAGCACCAGAAATATAGTAAATTCAGGAGAAAAATTTTTTTTAAAAAGTATATGATATACTTGTCCGTGACTTCTAAACTTTTGTTCAGCACCCAAGGCTTATTTTCTTGTATGTATTGATTTCCAAAATGTGATATTTCTAAAATGGTGTAAAGAGCCTCTCTGATCCTTAAAACAAAATTTGTATATATATATATATATATTTAAAAACTTGACATGGTTCATGTAATTCAGATAACGTTTTAGCGTAGAGTTTACGTTTTGAATGAAACCGATATCGCAAGGAGTAGTAGACGTCACGTAAAAAGGTGGAATTTTTCCGGAATAAAATTGGATAACGAGTGATAAACTCCTGTTTTAACGATATTTCCATATTTTTTTTTATAAAGTAATATTTAAGGCTGTGTCCAAAATAATTTTTTTTAAAAAAAAATTAGAAAAAGTTTGAAAGCTTTCCCCAAATTTTAATTTGAAGTCGTACGTTTTTTTGAAATTTTTCTAGAATTATGTTTTGGGCACATTTTTATATTTAAAATGTCTTATTTATTTATTTATTTTTCACTTAAAGTTTCGAAAGTTTGTGGACTTAATATTTTCCCTTTTATGGGATATTACCAATGACATATAATAATACCTAGACTTATGCATTCATGATAATGCATTTGAAAGCGTCATTGAAGTGCAAATCAGCTGTACCCGCCATTTTGGTAAACCATATAGCGATTATTCTCATGTTAAAAACTACTATTAAATTGATAACTCGCTTCCTTATTATCTCGATGATCAGGCTATTCTTTAATAAAGTTTGCCTCAGACATTGGAATAAATTGGCATCTCGTTTAAAAAAATTTTTAAATAATGATATGGGTAATCAAAATGGCAGTCCCAGCTGTTTTCATTGATGTACAATTTTAGTGAATACATCGACAGTCTAGGTATTATTAAATGTCATTGGATATTACACAAATATCAGTACTGGCAACTAATTAACAACACTAATAAGAAATCTATGCAAAATGCAATTTTTTTCTAAAAAATTTAGTCCCCAAACCCGAAGATGACTCACCCCACATTCATAGTTTACGCGAATTAACATTGTTTCATATGTTTCGTATACTTCGCCATGAATTTAACTGTGAACCTAGGTTAAGGGCTGATTTGTGTGGGGACCACGACAAAATTTAGATAAAAAAATGGAAGTTAGAAATATAATCAAACAAAAGTAAGGCTGTTTTTGTTTTTGTTTACAGAATTAATAATTTTATAAATTAATTACCTATTGACGAAGTTCCCGAGATTATTTAAAAGCTCGCCATTGTTCTTGTTTAAAAGATCGTTCCAGCTAAAGTTAGAGTCCTAATGAATATTAATTTTAAAAAAATTATATTGTTTCTAGCGGATCAAACTGGTCGAACTTTCTTAGGAATGCAGTCCGGTCGGGTTTAACTAGGCAATAAAATATCGGCAAAACAAAAGCGGGTTAGAGAATAGAGTTAAGTTAATTCGGTCCACTGCTGGGGGGAGGAAGAGATAAAGATATTTTATGTTTGGAAAAGATTGGAGGTCGTCCTAGCTCTTTTTATGTTGCAACTTTTTTTTCGATAATTTTTTAATGCGGCGGGAAAAGCTACATTATTCTAATATCAGCTGATTTAAAAAAAAATTGTGGTGTGATCAATATTTCGAACTTTTTTTTTGTCTAAAATTGGTTTAAAGAAGTGCCTTTTTGTATTGTTTAATCTAAAATGGATAAAATTATTAAATATTGTGTTGGACAACTTTTTTTAAACATCCTGCTCAGTCATGCCGATCTAACACCGAATTTTGTTTACGCAGCTTCCTCCTTATATTACATTTTTCATTTTTCTCATAACATATTCCTTTGACTTAAATTATCGTTCCAAGAGGAACGAAAAAAAAAGGTGTTTTAAAGACAACCTGCGTTTCTGGTCTAATGGAAAGAAGGTAGAATCGCCAAATATCACTGGGAATGCCGGTCTCTTTTACCTGGTCCCCGAATATGCCTACCCCGCGACTCTTGCTAAATTTTTCGTCCTCGTAATTTAGGTATTCTGGAAGAAAGAAAAAAAAATGAAAAGGGTAAATTAATGGTTTTAAAATTATGAAAATGTCAGGCTTAAAATAAAGATATTAGGGCAGGAGCTAGTGTTGTTAAAGGGCTCGTTTTGAGCGGATTTTTTAAAAACGGCTGACTCAATATTTTAGCCAGAAAAATATTGACTAAGCCTCCGGACGCGCTAATTGGACCTTTGTGCCAAAATTTTCGGGCTTGCGTAACATTATTCTGGATAAAACATGGAGTTAGCCGTTTTTAAAAATCGGTTCGAATCGAGCCGGTTAACAAAACTAAACCTCCCATGGAAAAGGAGGTAGGCCCTCTTAATCAACAAACATGGTAACTATTTTATAAATTTTCAATTATTGGGAGAGGAAGGGGGGGGGGGGTAAAGAGATTTAGGATTGCACTGGGCATAAAATAGGAAAGAAAAAAATATAATTCGGATGAGTGACAATTTTCTGAACTAAACCTTAAATGATTGACAACAAAATTCTGAAATTAAAAAAAAAAAAATTGATTTTAAACGAAGTTCACAAAAATAATATATTATTGCGTTAAATATCAAACCTGTAGCTATAAGGTGATTAACTAAGGTGTAATTTTCGCCTGTGCCCAATAAGCAACAAGGAAATATTACCGAATGAAAAGGAACGTTATCTTTGGCCATGAAATTGTATAAGGTCACCTTTTTTTAAAATATTCAATCAAGGATGTAGAATAAACACTTCCGGAAATGGAACTTAGAAAAAAATAATGGAACGCGAACAAAACGGAAGGGATGATCATGAAAACGTTTAGCGCGGAACGGTTCCGAGACGTTACGAAAAACAATAATGTTTGGGAGCAAGTTATAAATATAATATAATTTGTTCGCACATAACGAAATATTATTATTCATTATTTATTTAGTATAATTATATGATTTAAGATTATAAATACTTTCTTCTTTTTTTTTAAAAACAAAAAAATAATTTTAAACTGTTTATGGAATTGAATGTTAGATAACAAAAAATTTAAATTTCGAGATAATAATTTTTGTTACCAAAATAGTGTTGAAATGTGTTTTTTTTTCAAACCACACTCAAATATATATTAACATTTACCGCGTGGATATAAATGTGAATTTTTTTGAGATGGATGTCTTGATTAATACTCTAGGTTGTAAAAATTGAGCTATGTTATAATAAAGTTTAATGAACAAAAATTGAACATACTTTAGTCAATTTCATATAACTTTAAAAAAAATTCTTTTGGTTTGCTTAGAAGTTTAGGAAATAAAACTGCAAAATCTCCTTCTTCAGCTTTCTTACTGTTTAGATAATTTTTTTCCCCGTTTTTTTTAACATAATAATTGTATAAATATAATAATTTTAAGGTAGAAGATACCATTTTGTAAAATTAAAAATAATAATAAATCGCAGACGATTTTTATATTATGAACGCAATTACGTATACGATAGCGAACGGTGTTTTCTTGCTACAAATAGCTTCACATTTTTTTTACGCTTTGAATTTAAAAATTTTCTAACAAAGAAAATAAAACCTCTTCTGGATTCTTCCACCATTGTTCCCAATCGTCTGTATAATCGGCTGTAATCGATAAGTAACCAATAGGAGCGTCGTACCAAACGTAAAATACCTTATTTTATATATTTTAAAAAAAAAATGGTTAATGACGGTGGTGAGAATGCTCCCTTTTGACATTTAAATTTTATTTCACAAATACATGTATAACATGTGTGAATTAATATTAATTTTTTAAAAATAACTGGGGAGAAAAAAAATCATCCATCCAAAGATCGTACTTTTTTAAACTTTGCGTACGCTATATAGTGCCAATAATATAATATTAATATATCATAGATTGGTGATTCATTCGTTTAAATGAGGAGTCAGCTATAGCGGCATATTGTAGTTTGAAAAATTGCCACCTTAGACTTCAACTAACCGGTATTTTTAGAACCGATGGAAAACGTCCTAATGGAATGTCCTTAATTCCTTGGTCAAGGGATCAGTTCCTGGTCTGGAACTTCATCTGCATAGACCAAAATGCATAACCATAACGTCGATGCCTTCGCCCTCGCAGAAACCCGCAAAGGGTCGGGCCTTATTATTTAAAATTAAATTTTTCTATATTTAAATAAATTCGGGTCGGGTCGGGTCGGGCGGTTCATTAATTTTTATTTCGGGTGGGGCTTTTCGGGACAAATAAAAAGTAAATTCTTCCGGACCTCAGACCGGGCCGGATGTGAAAAATTAGTCCCGATGTGGATCACTAGGATAAACCAGTATATGTTTTCATTTTCCATTGAGAATGAAGGTTCTATTTTACTAGAAAGTACTTGATGAATCTTCAGTCGAGGTTATGATCACTCGATTATTTTCCTTAGTTATTTAGTCATATTTATTAACTAATTATTAGAGTGTAATTGATTTGTATGCAAATTGATGGCACGGCAATATATGAAAATATATTATCCAATTTGTAGATGATCAGAAAATTTTAAGAGAATTATATTTTGCTAAACTAGTATAATTCTTGCATCTCAATTTTGATAAATATGGGGATCATTCAAAATTTGAGTTTTAACAAGCAATTTTTATTCACATTTTAACAGTTTACAAATATGAATGTTTTAAAAAAATTATTATGATGATCGAGAGAAATGGCGCTAACAGCTGATTTCAATGTATGTGCAATATGAATGAATCCCCAATCTATGGTACATTATCATTGTAACAGTGCGCACAAATATTGAGCGTTTCAAAAGCGCTTTGCGAAAGCTAATATTGCATTTGAAATGGCATCGTATCATGTATAATGTTGCTATAGCATAAGTATCTGCATCTAGATACTACTTTTATATGTATCTTTCATAAAAAAAATACGATTTAGAGGGACGATACCAATTAAAATGACTCAAAAGTTAACAGCAAAATTGACTAGAACTCATAAGATAGTATTCCAAACATGATAAAATAATATTTCCGAAAAAAAAATTCTAATTTTTAAATTTTAAAAAATGCGCCCAAAAATTGATTTAATGCCACAATAGATCCTAAAGGAAGGGGATGCCAGCGTTGCCCGTTCCGCCCCCGGCTTGCCGGAAAAAACACATTGACGCTAACACACACATATATATATCATAATTTTTTATATCCATACATGATTTAATATTAGATTTTTTGGGCACCCCCTTAGATGATATAAATATTGATATAAAGTTTTGAGACACACCAAATTTTTGAATAATTTTTTTTCTTAAAATAAGTTTCGTAATTTTAATATATTTTAATGATTAAACCAATATAAAGTTTTCATTTCATTAAATATATAACAATCACTCTGCCATCAAGTACACCGGTAGAAAGAGTTTAGTGTGAACTAAAAATTTCTTTTATAGATAAACTGATAAAAATTTAAGAGAACGTTTTATCATTAAAATTTAACAAGTATATTTATAATCATTTAATTTTGTATTTAATATATGGAAAATTAAAATCTAACAGTCATCATTTTAATTATATATATTTGTTTATAGATGTGATATCAGCTCAATATATATTTTAACTCATTTCAAATTTTGAATTTTAACAATCGAATCCTAAATAAAGCATTACGCGCATCTTTATGAGTATAGGAAAAAATTAATTCTGTATCTAAACCTTTTTGGCAGATGTATCTGTATATAGATCCATTTTAAAAGTATCTCTAACGACACTGATAATTAATTCTAAAATAAAATGGCCACTTCAATTTAATACAACAAAGGATGGGTTAGCGTATTTTATTATTAGAAAAACGACCAAACGCCTCAATTTGTAATTACTATTAATTTTTTTAAAGTTTTTGTTGGACGACTCCATTAAAAAAAATAGGTTAGAACCTGAACGTTATCTAGTAAAATGATATTGCTAGTCATTGCACAACCCAAAATAATCGGACCATCCATCCTCTGTCCTCTCCATTTCCCTCTTTAATCTTATTTTTGACTTTTTAAAACCCAAACATCGATATTCAAAAAAAAAATTCGAATCACTTTATCTTCGAATCCCTTGAGGGGTACCGGAGTCCCCCATATCAGGTCGCGAGTTATGCATCTAGGTTTGAGACCGGTCTTAAGCCAGGCCTTGGTTATAACGGTAGCGGTCGTAGTCCAATCGTGATCCTTTGAACTTTCTACGTTGCTAGCGAACCAGGTATTAACTTTGTATTCTAGCTGGAAAAAAAAGGCGCAAAAAAATATATATAAATAACTTTTTTTCAAGCAGGACTCAAAATCTTCGATTTTTAATCATTGAATATCTTGAGTATCTACACGCAAGATTTATGATCAATTTTTGCTCAAAATTCAAAAAATAATTAACAACAGAATGAAATCTTTAGTGATTTTTATTTATAAAAAGATTTTGCTCATGCCTAAAACTTTAATATTTGGACTTTCTTTCTTTCTTTCTTTCTTTCTTTCTTTCTTTCTTTATTTCTTTCTTTCTTTCTTTCTTTCTTTCTTTCTTTCTTTCTTTCTTTCTTTCTTTCTTTCTTTCTTTCTTTCTTTCTTTCTTTCTTTCTTTCTTTCTTTAGTAAGAAGATGAAGAAAAAAAACCTTAAAAAATTAGTGATCACCAATTTTGATGGCGATTAAGTTATGTGTATTTAAGTTGAACTTCTTACTTTCTCATACTAATCAAAAAGAGAAAAAAATATATATTGATAAGAGCAATATTTATGTGTAGTCTATAATCACTAACTCTTAGTTTATTATAAACAAAACAAAAAAATTATATACATGTCGTAACACTTTATCGACAAAAATATCCACAAGGATAAAAAGAAATTGTACAAAAACCAATGATGTTATAATATACTATACTAGATTAGCGATTCATTCCTAAAAGTGCATTTTAAAGGTGGTCCATACATAAGAGTCAGCTGTAGCGCCATTTTGTGCTTTGCGCGTCGATTAAATGACATTAATGTGCATTCGTATATTGATAAGTAAAGATGATTAGTCGGAGTGCAAACCACAAAATGGCGCTACAGCTGACTCCTATGTATGGGAATTTTTAATCAATGAATCGCTGGTAGTATATATACATCATAGACATAAATACCACAATTTTTGAAAAAATTATAAATAGTAAAAAAAATTAATGAAATTCATGGGGTAGGCTCTCTAAGCGGTAGCTCTAATCAAAAACGAATAATACATTATTCGCATTCTATTCGCGTCATTCAAATTGAATAACCGTCTATTTGTATTAGAACAAAATGAATAATTTGCTATCCGTATTCGTTGAAGCCTATTCGAAAACGAATAATACATTATTCGCATTCTTTCGCGTCAATCAAATCGAGTAACCGTCTATTTGTATTCGAACAGAAAGAATAATTCGCTATCCGTATCAGTTAAACTATTCGATTATTGAATAGAGCTTGCTATGATGGAATAAAATTCCAGGCAAAATCGTGCCTTTTCTAATTTAAAAAATGAGAGGGCTATTAAATGATAATGCGTAGCCCTGAATTTTACTAAACCAGTGTGACATAATATGTATAATTGTCAGAGATATCCGATCCGGACCATAACTGGACAAGAAAATAAAATCCGGGCCGATCTTAAAAATAAAATTGAGACCGTGCAGGGGTGATTAACAATTTTAAAAAATATTAGAAGGGGCCATATTTTTATAACTCCAATCCGATTTGGATAAAAACCCGATCCGATCCGATGTTATTTAGAAATCCGATCCGATATTTAATCTTACCTTTTGGTTATTTTATGATTGTATATATATATATATATATTCATATATATTTTTTTTTTCCTAATGAAAGGAAGCTATAAAATACAATTTATTTGATGTTAATGTTTATTCGTTGTTGTATTATCTGCGACAAGAAAGGGATTTTAAAAATATCTAAACGAGTCACATTTAGATTAGGGTTGTTAAGCGGCTCACCTCAAAATATTGGGCCAAATTGGTAAATTACTCGAGCTTATTCGATTTTGCTAACGATGGTCAGAAAGGTTTGGACCTTTATTGGCGAAATTTCGAGGCTTAGGTGATAATATTTTAGCAAAAATTTTGATTTCGCCCTTTCAAAAAAAAATCGGGCTAAATGGGACTGTTTAAGATAACACTGTATTAACCTCATCAATGACATATAAAAATACCTAGACCGACGCATTCATTAAAAGTGTACATCAATGAAAAACAGCTGGGGACGTCATTTTGGTTACCCGTATCATTATTAAAAATTTTAAACGGGAGGCCAATTTATTCCTGTCTGACAACGCAAACTTTATTAAAGAATTGCCTGATCATCGAGATAGTAAGGAAGCGAGTTATCAATTTAATAGCAGTTTTTTAACATGAGAATGATGACTATACGAGTTACCAAAATGGCGGGTCCAGCTGATTCGCATTCAACGACGCTTTCGAATGCATCGTCAGTCTAGGTATTATTTATGTGTCATGGATTAACCTATAAGCATGGCAAATATTTTCGTTAGGTCCGTTTCCAGACAGAACGTTTTGTAAGCGGTTTTTGGGGTTAAGCGGCAATTAATTTTATATAACATATAATTATTTTTAAATCGCGTTTTGAAAATGTGGGTCCGTAAAATTGCTGGTAACATTACCCCAAAAACCGCTTTGAAAATAACGTTCTGTCCGGAAATGGTCTTAGTTGGTTTTTTTTAAAACGATGGGCGGGGTTAAAAAAAAAATTCAAAAGAATGGGCGGCTGTTTGGGTTTCAAAATTTGCCCATTTGTGGGTCTACTAAATTTATTTCTTTTTAGAAACATATTTGTCATTTATTTGTCAATATTCATTTTAGCCGAAACACTTGAATAAATGAGGATGATTCAAATCTAGCATCGATTATTCAAACTTTCGGCAAATCCAGGAACAGGTGGGTAGAGGCCTTGCTCATTATCGAGTTGGAAAGGCCGCATATCTTGCAAGAGGGATTTAAAAGATCGGAAGCGTTCATGAGTTTGCCGCACTTATCGCATTGATCTCCTCTGGCGTTATCGTAGGAACAGAGTGGACATTTACCTTCTATGTAGCGGTCCGCTAAAAATCTTTAATTTATTTATTTTTTTTAAAAAAAAAGATTTAAAAAATTCCTTTTTCTTCTTTCTTTTTTTATCTTACTTGCATTTATTTATTTTGTTTCCCTTCTTTCTCCATTTGACCTCCGGATCATTCATGCCCCCCCCCCTCAACCCGTCCTCTAACCGGAAATATAAAAAAAAATTCAAATTTTTAAAAACATTTTAAAATTACCTTTGGCAATTTTTGCAGTATGTTTGATCGGTGGATTCGGTGAAAATGTAACCGTCGCTATTGAGCTTACGAAATATATCTTGGGCTATTCTAATCATTCATTCGTTATTTTGGGAAAAATGTACAATATATAAATATTATAATATGATTGAAATTGCGAAGCAATGGAAAAATAAAAGGAAAAACAAAAAAAAGGAAGGATGTCGATACGATTGGAAGGAAGAAATTGATGATAAGGAGAAATAAAAAACATTGGAAATTAATAAAATGCGGATCAAAGGATCAAAGGATGAAAAAGTGGATAAGGGGGGGGGGGGGGAGGAGAAGAAAAGAGATTTCTACCTTAAACATTAAAGTTGTTAATACGGAAATAAGATCCAATATAAACCTAGATTCTACCATGGAATTCGAGCTATTCTAGAATACGCAATCAATAAACATGAAAATTTTAATAACACTTTTCCCCGAACTAATATAATTACCGAGGAAAATCCGGGAAAATTGAGGCACAATATATATAGGAAGAAATTCAGTGCCAAGGGTTTTAAAAAAAATATATTTTGTACGTTTCCCTGATAATTTATTCGTACAAAATATGTAAGAATATACAAATCTTCTTATTACATCCTTTTTTTTGTCGAGGGAGTGACATAAAGTTTTCTTAAAAACGTTTTAGAAAAAAAAAAGTGAAGTGGGGAAAACGCGAAACAATGCTAAAACCCGTGACGCAACCAATGACATATAATAATACCTAGACTGACGATGCATTTTTGAAAGTATCGTTGAATGCAAATCAGCTGGACCCGCCATTTTGGTAACCCATTTAGTAACTATTCTCATGTTAAAAACTACTATTAAATTGATAACTCGCTTCCTTATTATCTCGATGATCAGGCAATTCTTTAATAAAGTTTGGGTCAGACATAGGAATAAATTGGCCTCTCGTTTAAAATTTTTAATAACGATATGGGTAATCAAAATGGCGTCCCCAGCTGTTTTTCACTGATGTACACTTCTAATGAATGCATCGTCAGTCTAGGTATAATTATTATATGTCATTGGACGCAACTTAACATTATAAGACTTCAATTTAACTATATAGTTGGGTAATGGCTAAATGTCGGTTAATTCGGGTTCAAATCTTCAGGCGCCTACCGGAGAAAATCCGTTAGCATTGAGGCGTTATATATCGGTTTCTTCCAAATTATTTGAGCTGCTATCCTTTTAAGCAAATCCCCGAGACTAAAAGTGATAGTTTTCGGCTATAAACCTGGTTTTAGCCGACTAAGAATTGGGGCTTAAACGGCTTAAAATAAAGAAATTATCCAAACATTACTTCTAACGTGCGTTTTTGTTTTTAAAAAAAAATTGAATGACCTGAAAATGGTAGAGTTCGTGTTCCAAAATATACAGAGCACCACTTACCTTTGTGAATATTAGGAAAAATTTTCTCTTTCACACTGCATTTATAGTAAACGCGTTATCTTCGAACGTTGCGTTATTTAACGCAGCGTTATCACAGCTGATTCAGTTTTAAAAACTAATTTAAGATAAAGCTAAAATAGAGATACTTTTTTTATCGAATTAGCAGCTATTATTTTCATCGTATTGCACATTTTTTATATATCAACGCATCGCAAACATATGTTTTTAATAATTTCATGGTATCGTTATCGCCATAGCGCTTTATTTTCTATTTTAACGCTGCGTTAAATAAAGCAACGCTTGAACATAGCACGTGTGCTATCAAGGCTTAACTCTTGAAACTTCAACTCAATTTACATACTTAATAGTAGGGGTGTACCGATACCACTTTTTGGAGGTCGATCCGATCCGATTCGATATTCCAGATATTAAATTGATATCGGCCGATAACCGATCCGATATCATATCTAATTTTGTATTCTGTAAAGATACCGGTTATAATTTTTAATATACTTTTTATTAGTACAACATCTATAATTTTACTATACCATAACATATGTCATTTAAATATATTATAATGATCAATTATAGTTTATATTCAATTCAATTGCAATTATTTATATAATAAGTAATAACATTAATCTATTTACATAATTAGTAATAAACAAATATATTGAAATTTAAAATTAATATATCGAAGATTTCTTTTTAGAAATACCAAAATTTTCAATTTAGCAGAGATCGGTCTGCGGTGATGGGGCTGTTAATATCACTATCATCACTAAAAAACAAATTCTTAAGAGATTAATGAACATTTTTTTAAACAGAATGCGAAAAAAAATAACTATATTGCAGAATGTTTATTAACTAATTATTACTATTAAAAAAATTAAACATAAAAATGGATTTCGATTTTATTTATAAAAATAAATGGTTTTTTAGATATAACTTTTTTTAAATTTTGTTAAAAGCGCCAATTTATATCGGATCGGATCGGAAATTTTATAATATTTGCCGATAATCGATATTTAAAAATGGGCGAAATATCGGCCCTATCCGATCCGATATAAAATATCGGTACATCCCTACTTAATAGCTATATAACAAATTTTTCGTGTAGAAATTGAGCAGAATTCACGGAGTGGATATATCTAAACATGTTGAAAATATACGATTCCGGCAAAATTATGTCCTTTAAAAAACTAAAAAGAAGAAAAGGAAGATTGAAATTTGCTGAAAACCAGGGGTTAATTGAAGCATACTCTTGAAATTTTTTAAAAAGCACTACAAAGTATATAGCCTTCTTTCTTTGTTTAGTCAAGTAGAGCTCTTTGTGGCTCTCTTTCAAGTAAAGAGATACAGTTTAGTAACTAAAATCCATTATATTGGTGGGCATATTTATATTATATTGAATATATATATATCAGAGACCCTGAAGAGGTACCATTTGAGCGGCCAGGCTCGGATTTTTTTTATGGCGATTTTAAAATCTTCGACCCGGCCCGAGTATTTTTTAATTAAATTCGGCCCGGTCCGGGTACGGCCAGGCATGCCGGTCTCTGATACATTTCATTCATAGGGCCCCATCCAGGGTTCCCATACGTATTTCCCCATTCAAACAAAGGTATTTTTTTTACCCCACTTTTGGCTGGAGGGCACCTAGGCTGGATTTATGGGCTTGTTCGGGATGTAAGATGGCGAAGAAAATAGATCAAGGTCGTACAACAATATTCAAAATTTTTAAAAAATATATAAATATATATATATATACAAACCCAAAAACCGGGCCCTAAAATTTTGACCCTCTTTCACAATTCTTTTGATATAGGGTGGAATATTTTTTTTAAAAAAAATATATGTATCGTTCAGAATTAGCTTCGGTATAATAATTCGTTTATTAAAATGTAACGCGATTCGCTCAAACGACGAATAAATTTTTGCGTATCTTTTGAAATACGATATCTACCAATAAAATAACAATATTAATACATAATTATGTGGTATTATCTTTATTCTAGTTAATATAATATAAATTGATAGAAATAAAAACGAGGGAGGATGAGGATACAATAACATTATAAATCGATTAAAAATAATATACAGTACAAATATTAAATTTTAATCTTGAATTTTTTAAATGTGAAAAAAAAAACAGATAATACCATATATATATATATATACATATATAAAAAATATTTATGGCATTGGCAATGTTGTGTAGATTTTGACGAAAAACATTTCCATGTATTTTTTTGTTTTTAAAAAAAAATATTTCGTGAAATAAAATTTTATTCAGTCTTATAAAATTTTAAAATGTTGATCAATGAATGTTTTTAAAGTATATATGAAATTAATATTGATAGGGAAGTAAACACATGGAATTTAAATCGAGTTTTTTTAAAAAAATGGCTACTAAATGAGGGAAAATATCAGAGTTGTAAAGGATCTAGATACTTATATAAAAATGTGGTATCTGTATCTTGATAGATTTTTGATTAAATAATCTGTATCTAGATATTATTTTAGACGTTGTATCTGTATCTAGATCCATTTAAAAAGTATCTTTTAACAACTCTGGAAAATATAATTAAATATTCTCAAATGTTGTTCCCAATTCCGGGAAAGATGGACAATATTTCCTCAAATTTTAGCCATTTTTTTTTTTTAAATTACTCATTTTTTATATACAAGTGTTTAATTCCCTCGCATCTAGTGTTGTTAAACGGCTGGCTTTGAGCCGATTTTTTAAAAACGGTACAATACTTCATCTAGAAAAATATTCCCTGAAGTTTTTGCTCATAGAAGGAACAAATGTCTAGACATGTATTATCGAAATTTTGATGCTTAGGCAATATTTTTCTGGCTAGAATATTGAGTTAGCCGTTTTTAAAAAATAGGCTCAAAACGAGCCGTTTAACAACACCACTTCGCATCTATTAATATTATTTTTAAATTTTTTTTATAGGAGATATAAGTGAGATTCCCAATTTTTTAGCGATTTTTTTTTTGTTTCGGCGAATTAGAACCTAACCCGTGAAATGTGAATGGTTAGTTGGCAACAACCGTTACAATTTGAAATATATTAGGGTGAAAAAAAAGGAAATTAAATTGTTTCCATTTTTTTTAAAAAAAGGCGCGAAAAAAGCCTTAGCCCTGCATTTCCAGTTAGCACGAATTCGCAGCGAAGTAAACAGAATATGCTGTATTTTTGTATACTTTACACGAGTACACTTCGCCACAAATTTAGTACACTTCGCCACGAATTAGGGTTCGCCATGATTTTAGTAAACTTCGCCACAAATTTAGTAAACTTCGCCACAAATTTAATGCACTTCGCCACAAATTTAATAAATAAAGGGTAAAGAATGATGAAAATGGGGAGAGGCGAAAAAAAAAATGAGGAAACGAAATCGTCAAATCTAGCAGCCCTCTCTAAGTTTTTTTTTTAAAAAAAATAATAAAGTCTCAACTGAAGTGCCAATATGTGATGATTCAATTTAGAGGGTTTTATTGATTATTCGAAATATTATTGATCGCTTAAAGTTCGCAATAGTGACCGGAAATTGAAACACTGTAATCGCGGATCTATCGGAACCTGAACACACTTTTTTTTATATATCGGAACACTTGAACCGGATGAACTTTTTTAAACGGATATATAGTTATTTTTATATATCGAAACACTCGAAATAGGAAGACTTAAAGTTATCAAGAAACCGGATATGGTTTTTTATATATAGAAATACTTGAAGAAGTACTTTGTTAAAATATTAAAAAACCGGATATAGTTTTTTATATATTTAGTCCATGTTTTCAGAACTGCGAAATATAATATACATATATATATATATATGGGATATTAAATATAATTACGGAGTTTGATGCCTATTGGTAGTCCTTCCGAAGGTGTCAAAGGATATATCGAACCAGGCATAAATGTCAGAATGAGCCTTGTGATAGGCGTCGCATATCTCCATGGGAGTTTGACCACTCTCCAAAGCTTTCAATTCCGTAGCAGTCCCGTATTCATCTGTCCCGCAAAGGAATAATGTGTTTGTATAAGGTTTAAATCGGCAATACCTGTTTTAAGTATGTTTTTATTTAAATATAAAACAAAAAATTGTTTTATAGGGCCAAAAAAGAAGATAAATATTTTGAATAGGTTATTGAAAACATTTTATAGAGCCTAGCCTATAAATTGGGGTGTAAATATTGTAATTCAAACACCGTATACATTACCCCTCGTTTTACAAAACGGATATGACGTAATTTTTTCTTCATATGCATGTCCTTCTTATCCTTATTATCCTTCTTATATATCTAATGACGTGTTGTATTTCCCTCCCTTTTAAAAAAATTTTTATTTTTTGCTTTCCATATATGAATCGTAAAAATATTTTCATTCCATCTTCGGTCTAGAATTGGGGTGCACCATTTTTCCCAAATGTTTAAAAATGAGAAGAAAAAAAATCCACAGTTAAAGTTTTAAAATCAACTATAGGAAAAGTTTATCGATCAATTTAAATTAAAAATTTCGCAAATAATGTATCATATTAATCAATTAATTAATTAATAATTTTGCCTAAAAAAAATATAGATATAAAATTTTTATTTCATAAAAAAATCGAAATTAAAAATGAAGCAAACACGACAACTTTATTGAGTATTTGTAAATACGTGAACGTTTTATATTTTTTTTTACGCGAAATGCCAATCAACCAATTAAAATAAGGTTGGATAGAAAGATTAGATGTAATATATTATATGTGGATTTTATTATATTTTTAATTAATTTCTTTATAAAAAAAATATCCGTAATTTTTATATAAAAAGAAATTAATTTTCTTTCGAATAATTGGATTTATATTGTAGTTTTATTTGTCTTTTGATTTGATAATTTTATATAATTCTTGACGATTCGTTTTTTAGAAAGTTTGGTTAAGTTTCTAGGATTTGTTTGGGTAGATTTTAGATTTGTTTTAGTTTGTGTTTGTAGGTTTTTTTTTAGTTATGACTTCCTCTTTCTTTTTTTAGTTGCATGTGTTTTATATTTGGTGATATTAATAAAAACAGAAACTATTAAGTGATATAATATAATAAGTTTGAAGTGTTTAAAATAACAGAAATACCATTTATGGTTAGGAAAAAAAATTTAATAATTAATAAAAATTTTTCATAACAACACTTTTTAATTACAAAAAAATAATTTTTTAAATTTAAAATGTTTAATATTTAACAGAGTTGTTAAAGGATCTAGATACTCTAGATATAAAAATGTGGTATCTGTATCTGTATCTAGATAAATTTTTGATTAAAATATCTGTATCAAGATATTATTTTAGACGATGTATCTGTATCTAGATCCATTTAAAAAGTATCTTTTAACAACTCTGATAGTTAATAATATTTTATCCAAATAATACCAATAATAGTTTTAGAAAATTCTTCTTTATTATAATAATAATTCCTTTTTAACTAATCATTCCTTTTCCACATCATTTTCGCAATCTGCTATATAAGTGCCAATTCTACTATAATAAACCCTTACGATTTTACAAACTTTTATAATCATATGCATGATTTTTTGGAACTTGGTTTTCGGGAACAACCAATCAATTAAAAGTAATATAAATTTAATATTTTATATATTATTTTTATCTTTTCTCTATTTATATAAAAATAAAGATACCAATGTCGAAACGCTCAAAACTAAACGAGAATTGCAATTTTAAAATATAATATTTTCTTACAAAATCAAATCATTATGGTAAATTATTGTGTTTGTGTTTGTATTTGTAATTATTAGATTATTATAAATATATACAAAATAAAATGTTCTTTGGTTGATAATTTTTATATTTCATTCTTTCTGAGCGCCTTTCTATAGAAAAAAAAAAGAATGGCATTTACATTTTGTATCTGCAATATAAGTTAATTACTATAAAAGGTGGGTGGTGGCTGATTTTAAGTTTTAAATTCTTTAGTGTAAGTCTTTATGATCAATATTGAGATTCAAGGTTCTCAGAATCTGTAATAAAGATCAATAAATACATAGTATTATTTTTTGTATACAATACAAGTAATATACCACTTATACTTTACAAATCTTCCAAAAAATTAATTTTCCAATTACATACGATATTCTAGAAACATAGGTAAATTCTTATATTGTAAAATTTGAAAAAATATTCACTTAAACTATTTTTTTTCCTAATACATACTAAATGTGGTATTTCTGTTTTTTTTTAAACGCTTCAAACTTATTATTATACCACTTGATAGTTTTTGTTTTTATTATATCACCAAATGAAAAACATGCAACCCTGTAATGTTCAAAATCTTCTATCTATAATAATTTTTTTTTAAATTAGAATTTAGTGTTATTAAACCAATGACAAGCGTCGTTAAAAGCAAATCAGCTGAACCCGCTATTTTGGTAACACGTATAGTAATTATTATCATGTTAAAAAACTGCTATTAAATTGATAACTTGCTTCCCTTATTATCTCGATGATCCGGTAATTCTTTAATAAGGTTTGGATCAGATATAGGAATGCATTAAACTCTCGTTTAAAATTTTAATAATATGATTAGTGTAACCAAGATGGCGTCTCCAGCTGATTTTCATTTGATGTACACTTTTAATGAATGAATCGTCAGTCTAGGTATTATATATGTCATTGTGTTAAACTATCCATCTCTAAATCAACTATAAAACAGCGTAGCCATGATTTTATCCAGAAATATTCTAATCGATCTTCAGGTGAGACTCAACTAGAAGCTTTGCCCTCTAGCGTTGAAGTTTCAACAGAGCTACGCTAATCTTTCCTCATTTCCATCTAACTGGAAGTATATGTCATCTGCGCACGATATTATTCTGTTTGCAAAACGTATCGCGTGGTGTGACCCTAAATCTGCTGGATCGGATGCGCCCTGTGCCTCGACAGGAGTGGCGATAGAGTACAACCTTGTTAAGGCTTGGCTAAGACACAAGAGAGGATGGTCAAGGTTAGGTAACTTAACAACACTATTAGAAATTTAATAAATAAATTCAAGATAATAACATTCCAAATCGTCGAAATTAACACTATATCTTCATTTTATTTATTTTTTTTTTTTTCTCCTAATTTATTTCTAAACAATTAAATGTTTTCTTAATAAAATTTATATATAAAAAAACTGATATTTAATTTTTTTTTAAAAAAAATTTTCCATACATTCCCTATCAGCTCTAACTCAGAGCATAAAACTCTAAACATAGTTCTAATATCCTCTTTTTTTTTAGTCTCGTCGCTAATTTTTGCCATTCACTCTTCGGGATCAATTTAATATTTAAAAAAAAATTTGTTGTAGCAAATTCATGGTCAAAATTTGGCTAAGTGTTTTAGAGATCCTGTAAAAAAAATTGTTACTTTTAAAATCATATTATTTGGATTTAAAAATGATAATCTATCATTGCAAATAATAAAAATGGTCCCACTTTAGACATTTTAATTGACCTTTAATTTAGTGAATGGGATTGAATTTGAAAATTTTTTGAATGCTAACTGGAATTCTGAATAATTAATTGGGATTCATTCCCTTCTTATTAATCTGTAAAGAGTGAGAGGGCTATGGATTTCATCTTCTTCTTTTTTAAAAGAAAAAAGGAAAAATCTTCCAATTTGGCTGTGCACTGAATCGCCCTCTAGTAAAAATTGAATGGTCAGGAGCACCATATTTGATTTGAATTGTTTCGATTACACTCGTTGTATTATTTAGCTAAATAATGTTTTTAAAAAAGCATAAATTATAACGGAATTTTTTATTTAGGGCCACACAGGAATCAGCCCATAGAATTAGGTGCGAGAAAGTTGGAAATTTTTTTTTAATATCACATCTCTACTTAATGCTATCACACATTGCAAGCAATTTTTGCATTGACGCCAAATAGCATAATCTCCCACCTTTGTCTTGACTAAGATATGCGGTTTCATTTTTAAAGAGATAATTTATCTTCTATAATAAGAAGACCCAACCTCAGATCCTGGTAATGTTGTAACATTTTGAGGGTCAAAGGATCTGACTAAAAAAAATTTTTTGACTTGGCTATAATCATATCCATACCTCTTATCAATGCTATTTTCAACATAATCTTCATGGTGTTTAGAAGAGTAATTATTTAATATCTTGTGCATTCATAATTTTCCTTCATATCTACCTATAACTGGTTTAGCAAATCTAATATTAAAATTATTTTTAAATATTATTATGTGTTATTGATCTTTAACAGGAATTCTTGATAATTCATCTCATTTTTTAGAATATAAATCTTAGGGCATTGCTATAATTGAGACTTCCCTCGAAGTATTCCTTTGAAGAATCTTTCCGCTTGTACCTTCTCTAGGAGCCAAATAAGTTTCAGTATTTTGGTATAAATTTTTAAAGAAATAACGGTTTATTACATATATCAAGTTTTTCTTTAAAAAAAAAAATCGTCTGCAAACTCTAACTTTAACATTCTCCACTTCAAAAAAAATATAAGTATGAATAGTTATTATAATTTAAAGAATCTTTTGCCCTTCTCTTACATGGAGTCCTAACAATAAATTTTCTAAAGAAAGGTGCCTTAGCATCATCAGCCAATCTCCAAAAAGCCGCATGAATAATTTTATTCTGATCTGCATAAACTTCTTTATGACATTGAAATATAGATTTATGAGAACGATCATTTCTGCACCATCCTTGCTCTTTTCAAATCACCTTTCCCTTTAGTCTTTTTCTTTCATTTGCTTTGCTTCTAGAAGTTCGAGGGCTAGGTAAAGTAAAAAATAATGAGATTCCTTAATTCAATTTCCATAGCTATATTTAATGAACAAGTAATGCTTAATAATTTATTATTTAAATTAGGAGCAAGTAGATTATTAAAATATTGTGATAAATTTTACATATTATACTCGTTTTCAAATTCAATTTTTATATCTTTATTTAAAGATTCCACATGAAAACTATATTAAAAATACTACTGCTACAAAATATTAAGAAATTTAACTTGATAGCATTGATCTAGAATTGGAGTGCTTTACTCAATATTTTAAAAA